AACGAAACTGATCATTTGCAGCCCTAACTATCAATGGAAAGATTCAAACAAGTAATATAAATGTTATAAAATACATTCAAATATATTATCATTATCTGGTTTCTATAAATGAATACAGATCTACTGAATGTGATTTACTTTGGTTTCATATTGTGTGGCTATAAAATTGTGTGGGTTTACAGACATTAAATGTATCAGTTACCACAGATAGTTAGTCACAGCACGTTTATCACAACGTATTATATACTGCTGTTAGATAAAAACTAATTTAAATGCCAAGATTCCGTAGTTGTTTACAAACGCCACTACATAACATTTTACTATTCCCATTGCATACGTTGCGTAACCATTAAAATAATAATAAGTGTTTTAGTAAACCTGATGGTACTGATCCAACTGAAGCTTCTGACTTAAATTGAACCATTAATAGGATTTAACCTTAAAATCTCAATCGTACATTGACCCTTTAACTTAGTTGAGTTAGCCATTGGTGTCCACATAAATAATCTCAAATACTTAATGTTACTTATGATTACTAATTGCCGAGGTGGTTATTCACTTAGAAAAAAGGAAATGAAACTTGAATTCTCTCTTACTCAGACGAAAAAAGCACTCACCGGTGTACCTTCATCCCCAATTGGACCTGGAGTTCCAGGCACTCCATTTATTCCCGGACTGCCCTAACAAAAAAAATAATAACGATTTACTGTTAGTTTTCAGGTAGAGCAATAATATCTGTATCCATTTAATGTACTTCAATCCAATGAATGTTGATCAGCATTACTTACTTAAATAACTGACTGGGATTTCGTGAATGAGAATACATTCTAGTCATTTTCTTCTCAAAGATATTTTGACTTAATGCTTATGTTTTCACTGTTATCACTTTAAAATTTTCTATTATTAGTGAATAGTTTGAAACTATTATTTAAGTGAAAGACTTTAAATCATAGGCTGACACTAACTAGATAACCTGTTACTCCCTAATAATGCAACTTTGAAGTGCGCACTCAACACTCTTTAAAGAATTGCACCAAGGAAATAAACAAATTACTTTTAGAAATTATCTGAAAATAATGTGGCTTTTTCCCGACTTCATTTCTGTAAATGGGAAAAATTGTTTTTGCCGCTAACTTTCATAAAAATTAACTATTGTTTCATCTCATATTTATATAACTTATCATGAATATGCATTTTACGACTATTCACTAGTTTTAAAGGTAGAAAATTGAAAGACAAACAACTTCACAGACAGTTTTGTGAGGCTAAATATGTTAATGAGTAAAACATACATCTGAAGGACAACAATAATGAATATATCTGAGTGAACTTACTCGTGGGCCTGCAGGACCTTCATCACCTGGATCACCGCGTGGGCCAGGAAGCCCTTTTAAACCTTTGACCCCAATTCTTTACCAAAAAATAAAACGAAAATATCCATAAATAATTACAATTTCTTCAGAATATTACTTCACAAGTTTTTGACCAAACAAGTTCAGCGTCTCAAAATATATATTCTTATTTCAAAATCTAACAGCATTGAAATTTTATAATACGTTCTGTATATTCCAACCCAGATTGTGAATTGTGAAAGCCATTATCTAGAGGTCCGGCCTGCACTATTCATCTTTCTGAAATGAATCACTATCGATTCATTCATAGTAAGCTAGGTGGTAAACAAACAAGATATTCAGTAGTCGATAAGATTACTCCTACCCATGTCATATTACTGATTAATATTTAAAATTTGAAAACAAATTGTAGTGAAGAAAGATACTAACCTCTGTCCTTTGATTAAAGGTGATTCATCATAAGATGTGCCTTTTTCACCTTTAAATCCTTTCTCACCCGGCTCTGCCTGAAACCAAAGAAAATGAACTATTTATTTGGATGCCAAATATGTGTGAATTTCCAACTTACAAATTATGTTACTGAAAATTATTAAGTAGTACAATATTTTAACATGTTTTCCTGAGTGTTTGCCCCGAAGACATGTAGTAAATACTATCATTAATCATGGTAATATTATGTTTTGAGGTCAAGAAACTTCACTAACATTTAGAAAGGTAGCATTAGGTATGTCAGCATGTGTATGCTCATAAATGACAAAAAGTGCGTTTCATTGTTCTTTTCTGAACTTACATATGGTAAGGAAATCGGTGATGGAGTGTCTCCTTTTTCACCCTTTAAACCTGGTTCACCACGGTCTCCTTTTATACCCTTTAAAAAATCAAATGTTTAAAGAAAAAAAATATTAGGAACATTTCAAAAGAATGTTGACAAATGAGAAACTTTGCTGTTTACAACCTGTAGAATACGTATTTTATTTACAAATTTCAAACTGAAAAATAAATGTTTATGAATACGCTTGTGTAGATACGAATTCACATATATTATTATTTAACATAACTCTGCAATTCATAGATGTTATTTATAAATATAGAATATTTGCAGACCAAGACAGTCATACATTCTTAATCGATCGTTCACTATTGCACATTGCAATTTATGTACTTTTCAGTCTTTTAGTTTCAAACTGAACATTGGTTCATAATATTATAATCAGATAACCTAGGCGAGAAAAAAGTTAATAATGAGAACTTGATCAAGTAAGAATCAATTTCTTTTGGTAGTATAGACTTTTTTTTTTAGTTTGTGAGACTATTTTGTTGATTCGATTTTATCTGTAACCTTGACAAGGAGGCTTCATCTTGGTAAAAAGAAAGGTAATTTTCAAGTATATATACAGACAACATCGAGATATCAGAGATTAATAGCTTTAATCTTATATAAATGGAATAGATATAAACCCTAATGATCATTTATAACATTTCAAACTGACATAACTATTAGTTACACGCAATACAAATTTTAGAGTGATTTCCTTTGTCACAATTAAAAACTTATTTATTTTTTTCAAAAACCAATTTTATTTGAACAATTCAACTACATTTTATCAACTTACTTGATAACCTTTTGGACCAGCTATACCAGGTTGTCCTTTAGCTCCATCTCGACCACGAATACCTTTAGGACCAAGTTCACCTTTCTCACCTTTAGGTCCAGTCTCTCCAACATCATCTACACCTTCAACAATAGCTGGTTCACCTTTATCACCCTGAAATAAATAATTATAATTTGATAAAAATTAATTGAATTAGTAAATATATGTGTAAAATGATGAAGCATACTACACTTCTCAATAGATTGCTGATGACCAATGAACATAATTAACTACAACAGGGAAACTTAGGAAACTCTCAATTATTATAAAGTCATATTCATCAGATGTTGTAAAAATCATATTGATGTGACGTGATGTTAATATTTCTTTAATATATTAGAGTTGAATCAGAATTGTTTAACTAAATAAATGAATGTCCTATAATGTTTTCTGATTTTGAATACACATATACCCTTAATGATGTAATTATTATCACTCTAATCATCAACATTATCCATTCTCCATCCATATTCTTTCACCATATACCGGTTTTTATTTAAAAAATAAATAAATATTTTATTATTGAAAGAATAATAGAAACTTTTACCTTTGGACCTTTTAAACCTCTTTCACCACTAAGTCCATCGAATCCATAACTACCTTGAGCGCCTTTCAAACCTTTTGGTCCCTATTTGTTTAAACATAAATTGAAATATTCAAAAAATAAAAATAATTACATCATGACAATTGATTGACAGACAATAAATGTATTTGATAAATACACTAGATTAGATTGTTTGACAAAACAATACATAATAGTAATATGATTAGAATAATTTGACAACTGTCTCCTATGACACATACATGTCTTTATTAAGGTGACATGTATCATCTGTTTTATACAATCAGATGTATAAATGCACTAATTTTCAAACTGTAAGTCATTATAATTTATCTTACCAGTAATTTTTTATTAAAGACTATTAAACTAAAGGACGAAAATTCTAGAGAGAGAGATAGTAATCAATCGATATAACTGTCAATATGCATTATTTTTTTAATCAGTTATATTAGATTTTAAGTGTGAAACATGACTACTGTATTTGTATTGATGTAAGTGAATTATTATACCCCATTTAGTCTGTTGTTACAATGTATAACTCCCGAGATCCTTATTTTTATTGAAAATTGTCTACTGAAAAACTTATTCAGTCATTGTTGTTCATGTTTTTTGTTTGTATCAAACTAGTATAAAAAAAGGTGAGTTAATTAAAAAAAATTCTGTCCACTATGATATCTGTCAGTTATGATTAAAATATTAATGAAAATAGAATAATTTGTAAATGTATGATCTAGAAAAAACACCGCCTGGAGCCCTTCCGGGGCTACTACCGGTCTGAAGCCCGGATAAAGGAGGACGGTTGGGCGGGGGGGGAGTTGAAGACCCCATTCCCCAAAAAAGTTAACTCGCTAAAACAACGCTAACCTTAAAACATAATTCAAACCATTTTAACTGTAGGAAAAGAAATATTTGACCATTTATATACACTATGCCTAATAATGTAGAATATTCACTATTGTCTATCATCATTTTGACATGAAAAGAAACAATGAATGTAGTTTTCTCGATAGATCAACACAAGACTGTTTTTTTCTTCTGATTTTATTGATGAATACCAATTGAAAGTAATCTGTCTATATGATATATTTGCCAATCAAATACAATTTGTTAATGGAATACTGTCACAAGCTTGTAAAACTCTCAACTATATATGTGTTAGTAGCATTTAAACAACAAAATCAAATGGTGACATTGTGGTGTGAGCTACTTATAAGTAGTATATGACGTGAGTGTCAACGTAATGTCTGGCAGCAGCAGAAGACGGGGGAAGATCAAGAAAGGAAGAGTTAGAAAACAATGGAATTTGTATGAAACGCATGAATAGTGACAATGGATTGATGTTTTGCAACAAGAACAGTCCAGTTCGATATGATGAACTGATATTTTGCAAATGAACGATTTACGATATGGTTTTCCAATTTTACTGAGTAACTCTGTAATTTCGCTGAATACAATTCGTTTGCCCCATCTGTGTTCTCGTTCACTACAACATGACCATCAACAACAACAAAAAAATCAATGTCAATCTACGCCTACTAACAATAGATTTTACATCATTAGCTGTTGTGTTACTTGTTTGTTATGCATTCAATGCACAACACAGCATTTCCCTTCCTTACCGAATCTCCAATCAATAAATAATATAAGGATAGGGAAAGTACACAGTTATTATTAATTTAAATGCATGACTCATGAAATTATGCAGATATGATATATGATCACAATGTATATCAATTTTATATAATTTGCATTTGACCCAAAACAGAATGGGTCATTTCTATGTAAACGGGAATTTGTATTTGAACGCTCAAAGATATAATTATAGGTAAATTAAAAACAGAACGCATTGTACAAAAACACCATACAACAACAGATGTTTCACAATTATCCTTTGAAATGATACATACTAATTAAGTTAAAAAAAAATAATTACACAAGTTTAAACAGAAAACGAGATTTCACCTAAACTACAAATTTTCTCCATTATCACAAGTTAAATATTACCAGTTGGGTGAATAATAGGTGTCAGTTGTTTGACAAAAATGACCTTAAGATTAAACTGTTCTCTATAAATCACTCAAGATAAATAAATATATAGTCACGATCAAAACAAATTTCCCAAAATTTCAAAGAGAAATTCAAATTAGCCTAATATCAACTGTTTGAAATGAGGTTGTAAGATACCGTTTCTGGTACCGTGAGTTGACTAAAGTTGAAAATGTTCACTAATGAAGTCTATCTTTTGCCCAAATATATAAAGTACTAATCTCAGGACCAGAATATCCTGACTTCGTATGTAAATTCATGTGTAAACTAGATAAACACTGAATTAATCACTACTCGCTGATCAATCACTGTAAGCATATCAGCTGTATAGATGGTCAGTAGTAGACCTAAATGGCTCAATAATAACGTCTCTGATTGCAAAGTTGAGTGGTGGGAGTCCAAGTTCCAAAAAGGGTATCAGTTCCTCAAAGATTTCAATTATAGAATGTTGGTGAGTGCCGCCTGTGAAAAAACTTATGTCCAGAGTTTCTTGTTGACCATCTCCAATGACCTAACAGTAGTAGTCTGGTGTACATGCACAACTGGGTAGTCTTAAACTAGGAAATAACGGCTTTAAATCACCGATTATTCAGCTATCATGAGAACTAGATAGTTAATACATGGAATCTAATCTAATGTCAACTCATTAGCATATACTTAAACACAATGAATCATTTGATTTTTTATACAAAATGAAAATAATTTAGATAGAAAGAATATTTTTACTTTAGCACCACAACAGCCTTCTTCGCCTGCAAAACCTTTTGGACCTTTAATACCGATTGCACCCTGTTCAAATGAAAGAACAAATACAAATATATATAAAGTAGAAAAGAATATGAATTTTACAATTAATTTATTTCACTATAATATTTCATTGTTTTAGCTATCATTATCTACTGGGGATTGTATTGTAAGCATGTCACTGAAAGCTTTTATATTAGCAATTAAAATTCATAGTGAACGGTTATAACTTCATTTTAACTATA